TTTTTAATGAGACAATAGGATGAGTTGAGATGACAGGCTTGATGTGTTGTGGTTTGGACTAATATGTTGGTGGGATCACATCCTAAACTAACAACAAGAGAAGTCTTCGTTTGAGCAGCTCATTCAGTATACCATGTCCATCAGCAGCCAATGCTGGATGTTTTAAGTTCAGGGTTTCTCAAATATCTCCCCACATGCATAAAAAGAATTTCCTGAGTTTCCTCAAATGAAGCTGCCCTGGTAGTGGTCTTTTTCCAGTTAGGGAATAAGCAAGCAATGGAATCCATGAAAAGCAAATAAGGTCATCGAAAGTAATTCACACTTCCCATGGCAAAGTCGGGATCTCCCTAGCCTTTATATGAAAAACAAGGTTTAAATCCAACCCAGGGGCACTTTTCTTCACAGAATTTACACAGAAGTAGATCTACAATTTAATCCTTCTAATCTATTGCCACATGCAAACTAATAAACAATGCCCACAAATCTGAGCCACTTATCTATTATAGTTTTCTTTCTGTAAAGCAGTTTGTAAAGAAAATGAAACACCGACCCCCCCAAAAAATGCCAGTGGTAAAACACACACACAAGAACACCAACTGAGGGCAGATCCATACCGTACATGTAAAGTATGTTCAATACAAATTCAACACACATTGCAAACACACTGCATATATTACCCAGTCATTCACATAAACTATCAAAACTGCTAAAGAAGAAGAAGAAGAAGAGTTTGGATTTGATATCCCGCCTTTCACTCCCTTTTAAGGAGTCTCAAAGCGGCTAACATTCTCCTTTCCCTTCCTCCCCCACAACAAACACTCTGTGAGGTGAGTGGGGCTGAGAGACTTCAAAGAAGTATGACTGGCCCAAGGTCACCCAGCAGCTGCATGTGGAGGAGCGGAGACGTGAACCCGGTTCCCCAGATAACGAGACTACCGCTCTTAACCACTACACCATACTGGCTCTCACGTGTTTAAAGAAACACGTGTTTACCGGCATAATGTAAGAGGAAGTGACAACTGATGATCTGTTCCTTTAGGGAACAATGACTTAGAAAACTCCTACATATTTGTGTAGTGGCAGTAAACTTATTCAACTATGAGGGTTAACTGCAACATGTTATATATGCCTCTGAAGACGGTTTGGAAACTTCAGCTGGTGCAGAATTCAGTGACCAAGCCTTTGACTGATTAACATTCTATAGCCTTTTAAATGTGTTTGTGGGAGTGGGGTTATTAGCTTGTTTTTGTTTTATTATGTATTTTTTGTTCTCATTTTGTATTTTTTATGTTGTAAACTGCCCTGTGATCTTTGGATGAAAGGCAATAAAATAAATAAATAAATACATCCATCCATCCATCCATCCTCACCTCAGTGGATTTCTGATTTTTCTTCTAATTCTGTTCATGATTGGAGATATAAGATTATCTCAGGGTGGATCCACCCCATATATTTAAAGGACATTCAATGCATGTTTAAAGAACATGACACACACCCCATTGAATCGTGGGGACTCTAGCTTCCTGCAAAGAACTGACTTTCCAGTGCTCTTAAACTACAGTTCCCAGGATTCCATGGGCAAAGTCATGTATTTTAAATGTGCATTGGATATGCTTTAAATGTATACTTGGGATCTGCCCTGAATCTTACAAATGGGATGGGTTTGGTTTTATTTTTACACCAGGCTATGTTAATGTAAGGGACGCGGGTGGCGCTGTGGGTTAAACCACAGAGCCTAGGACTTGCCGATTAGAAGGTCGGCGGTTCAAATCCCCGCGATGGGGTGAGCTCCCGTTGTTCGGTCCCTGCTCCTGCCAACCTAGCAGTTTGAAAGCACGTCAAAGTGCAAGTAGATAGGGAAGGTAAACAGAGTTTCCGTGTGCTGCTCTGGTTCGCCAGAAGCGGCTTAGTCATGCTGGCCACATGACCTGGAAGCTGTCTGTGGACAAACGCCGGCTCCCTCGGCCTATAGAGTGAGATGAGCACGCAACCCCAGAATCGGTCACGACTAGACCTAATGGTCAGGGGTCCCTTTACCTTTATGTTAATGCAATGGGATAAAAAATAGGCCTGTGCATTTCCCCCCCAAGTAGAAACCAACCTAGAGAAGCAAATAAGTGCCCTTCTTCTCAAGCACAACACATGGCTAGGGTATGGGAAAACTTAACCACCATGAGACACATTTCAATTTGGCTTGGTTTATAAAGTCTAAAACTGTTGATATCATTTTCTTAGTTTTTGTTTAATAATTACTGTTTTTAAAAGCAAAAAAATTATCTGGGGAAAGAGATAAAAATGTTCTTCTCCTGAAACACCACATGGCAAACATTCTAGTACCTCAATATACATTGCAAGTGAGATTGAGGCAGTAAAACGTTTCCCCACATACTGGTAGTGTACTTCTTATCAATGCCCTGAGAAGATTCCGATATGTCTCTGACATTCTGCATTTTCCTTAGAGCTCTCTTATCAACATACAACTGGTATTCAGACCTTACAGATTTGTAAAGACAATATGAATCAGCCTGAAATTATGCAGTTATGGAAAGCTTTCTACCTGTTTGAGGCTTGCCATCCTGGTTATATTATCACTAGTAAAGTAAGGATCCCTTAAAACTTGGCAAATTGAGAAAAGATGAACAGAAGCTCTCACAATTCTTAATAAAATTCTCATTGGGGCAATTTTATTTTATGTTATTTTTCTGCCATGTTCAGGCTTATGAGCTCTGGACTTCGCTTTTTTTTTTAAAAAAGGTAACATGATAATAAAAAACAATGAAAACTTCAACTTCCTAGGGATTTCTTCTTCTCTGGTAAATAAGGGTAGGTCCTATGTATATTTTATACCTGTGCATCTCTTGGAACACTAACAATAATAGTGCCTTGAGGAACTGTACACCACACAACCTGGTTCCTGAAAGATAGCATGAGGCCCTTTTGCTCTCCCATATTGTTTTCATGTTGCTTAACACGGTTGTGATTTCTGAGTCTGATTTTCAAGTGCCTAGGGGTTATGCCAAACTCTTTTGATGCTTTTCTTTTAAATATATATATTTTAAAAAACATTGGAAATAGTTGACAAAAATGTATTTCCTCTGGGACAACAATATTCAGTATTTGTTTTAAGTGCTTGCTGTTTGCTGAACCAGTTCAGACCATCTTTAAAATATCAATCCATCACCTTGCATGCTGCAAGAGAAAATGTGTGCATGTGTTAACAACTGACAAGTCCCAATTTCTCCTTCTGTTGCAGTTAAGCAGGAAGCACCAAAAGGCATTATACTTCATGGTATACCAACTCTGGATTTAGCTAGGGCTGCCATACGTCCTGATTTTCCAAGGCATGTCCTGGAATTCGCCTCCAAAAATGGCATCCTGGATTATTTTTTGGAAATCAGGCAAATGTCCTGGAAAACCAGCAACAGGGGTTAAATTGTGCCCAAAATGCCATAAAAGCTCCAAAACTCAAATTACTGTAGCTTTTACTAAAAAAATATAAAAAATAAAATTCAACAAACAGCAACAACTTTGTCCTGATTTTCACTTTTAGCAAACCTGCTTAATAGAAATTGTAAAATTAAATCTGAGAATAGGACTACATGCTTTCAAGTTCTCTAGCCCCTTGTTCTTTGCAGTTACCTTTTTCTGAAGCTTTTTGAAAGAAAAATTTCTCTCTCTATTACTTGGATGGCAGACTATTTTTTATAAAAAGATCAACAGCTCCAACTCCTTCCCTCTATATTGCTTTTTAAAAATCAGATCTTCCAAAACATAGACCCCACACAGATGATCAAATTATCCTAGGATGAGCTTTAGTACCCAAAAGTAACTTTTTTGTCTATATCATCCTCAAAAGCAGAGAGAAGGAATGTGTTCAATACTTTTTGTCCCAGCAGCTGGGTGATACTCTAGACCTAATGGACGGCACAAGCTATTGAAGTGATTCAGCATAGTGTGCCTGAAAGATGAATTGTAAGAGAGACAGATGACAGTTTTATAACTCTCAAATATCTGTGAAGTGATGGGCATCCCACTATTCTTTTCAAAGCTGACTTATCTTTTAACCTATCAGAAAGGCTCATTTTCTACAGCAAAGTACTGTCAGCAGACAGTCAAGGCAGCACCAGCAGCACAGCGAAACAGTTTAATGGACTATATTGTGTTGTGCTTGAGATGGAGGAAAAAAATAACATCTATTTATTTTCAAACTGTGTATGCCTTTCCAGAAATTCTCTCTCCCTGTCCCTGCTCAAGACCACTTTAATCATTCAAGGCTTCATATATGCTGGTTTACAAAATTGGGGATATAAAAAAAAAGATATATAAAAAACAAAAACAAAATTGGGGATATGTCTTGGGGCTCAACACTTTCCCTCTACCTCTCCTACCACACACTGGCTGAAGCATGAAGATATTGGCTTATATTAGGCCAGAGTTGTGGTTTCCTGGCTTGTTAATTGACACTAAGTATGGAACAGTTCCAGTATACAACTATAAACATGCTGTCTTTACGGACCTAATGGGGAACTCTAGCACAATATAAGCCTTGAACATTACACAAAAATCAGGATATGGTGTGAGGAAAGAGTGCTTTGATGCTAATTCCCAGGTTCATAAACCGGGTTTATAAAACTTAAAATGATTCTCTGAACTGGACCACTGTCTCCTCCCAGATTTAAGAGTCGACCACTTGACCTTATTATTATTATTATTTAAATGTTTTTATTCCAGAATTGCAAAAATGATCATTGCATATGTACGCAACATTTGTGTCCCTAATAGATTGGATGAGGGAAAGCAATGTAATGCATATTGCCAATTGATTCAGTAGCAGGATCAACACAATGATTTCTGTTATAAAAACCCCAGAAACTCTATTGTGGAAAGTGTGATTCATATTCCATTGTAACAAAACAGAATTTAAATTAAGTAGCACACCCTAAAAATGCAGTCATAGTATTGCCAGGATACTGTGCTTGGCATTCTTCAAGCTGACTTACCGAACATCTGTACAGGTTATACATGATATGCACCGACTATTTGTTGTAATGAGGTTCAGTGCCACAGATGTCTCACTGTCAGAGGTTGGGTGTGCTCCACATTTAAAGTAGAATTCCTGCAATATTGAAGAAGAGATAAAAGGAAGATTACATACTTGCACTTCATGTCCTCTCTTTATCTTAGTCGAAGTGAAGTCTGAGGCAGTAGATAAATCACTACTGCCAGTGGAAAAAGGGGATGCTCATTAGGAATGCTTTAGGAAGGATGCCTCACAGTATCTTTGTACAAGGTGTATATTTTGCTCTTTGGACATCATCTGAAGAAAGAGAATGCATTAGCACTTGCATAGATTCTGTGATGGTTTTCTTGCAGGAATAAGGGATTAATGGAGAACCAAACCGGTACAGAAATAAAAAGGTCCTGGATTCTACAAGGATTTATCCACATGCAGGAAGCTGTTTCCTCACTCAGACCTTACTCACAAAAGTCTGTTGTTGAGTAGTGGATTTCCCCACATCCAGATGCTAATCAATGTAACATATCTACACTTCCACTTCTAGCTTGGGAAGCATGTTAGAACCAGGGCAAGGCAGTACATGAATGCAGTGGAAGCTAAACCAGAGAATGAGAACTTGTGACCCTTCAGATGTTGCTGCCTTTAGCGCCCTTCAGCCTTAGCCAGCATAGGAAATGTTCAGGGGTGATGGGAGTTATGGCCCATAAAATATATGGAGGGCCACCAATTCCCTACCCTGATCCAGGATTAATGAATTTCTGAGTTGAAATCCAGAGAATAGAAGGTATTGCCCTTTGACTAGGCAGAAACAGAAAGCCAGACTCCTAGACTCTCCCAGCTCTATTTCTATTAATACATTGTGAGTAAAGCATAACTCTGTTGAAACCATCACCAAACACACCTTTAAGCTCTGAGAGTATCAAGAATCTATAACCTTATATGGAAATACAAACAGAAATGTGCAACATGAGCAGAAATGTTGCTTATCAAAAGAAGATGTTTATGTGGCTGTTTAACTATTGTAGAAGGAGTGGGGACACCCCCCTCCCCAAAAGACATTACAGAAGCATAAAAAGTTACCCAGTTAAAAAGTATATCACTGGAGAGCTTCTGTACAGTTCTGTACAAAGTGTTGTAAACCCAACAGAATTATATCTACTGCTAAGGGTATGACAAAGTGTAAACAGAGGACATAAATATCCCAGCAACAAAGAGCAGAGTTTACTATCATGACACACTGTGCTGTGTGCTGCATTTAATAAGGAATATACTTTTCTTGATGAAAGGGATTCTGTCCGCCCTCCCCCAATATATAGTTTACTGCCTCCATGCTGTTTTTTTGTTTTTTTACACAGTCATTTAATGTATTGCTAGCAAGCAGGTGTTAAGACTGGTCATTGTCCTCTTCAGATCACCACACAAACGCTTCTTGTTCTTTTATAACTTTTTTTTTGTGTATCAACAAACAAACTTATAAATGGTTCTTATCTTTAACTATTCTTCCTCAGAGTCACTTCTTTCAGATACCTTCTGAGCTCTGCTTCTCCGTGACCAGCCACCCTCAAAATGGCGAAGGCGCCCTTCCCTTCGCTTTCCCGCTCTTTTTTCTAACCTCCTGGCTAGAGCTGGCTTGTATCTCCCTCCTCCGAATCTGAGCTAGAACTTAACCCTTGCCTTTCCTGCGAACATCCTGTCCCTCCCTGTTGTTCCTCTTGCTCCCTTCTGTTAGATTCACTGCTTTCCTCCCCCCCTTGGGGAAAACATTCTCCCTCTGGGAAACTGGAAACTTCTAACTCTAACTCTTCCCTGACAGTAGGAATGCAGCTCTATGGTATAATTTGATCCTATTCATTTCAACTAGGTATTTTCAAAATTTGTCAGACCTGTAAACAGCAAGAACCATTGCCAGGAGAAACTCATGCCCACATTGTTCTTCATGATATGAATAACTTGCCGACTGCACTACATTATGTTGCATTGAAAACAACTGATAGACCAGAACAGATATATTATAGCGGTGTTGACTACTGGAGTCTGACATGCATCGCATGAACATTTGCTTCTCCCAAAAAATAATATATTGTGATGTGAAAAACAACACCCCCCTTTTCTGAGTATTTTATAAAAACAGATAATTTAAGTCTGTCTTGCAAAGCGGTGATTCGATCATGACCACAAGAAGTGTTTTAGAATATTGTAGAATATTATTATTGTGCTGTTCTTTCTGAATTCCAACTTGAAATTGAGTCTAAGAGTTTAAGAAAAAGTCTAATGCTGTGAAAACCCAGTAAAAAGGATAAAAGAATGAAAGCACACAATTTCTTCCTCTCCTTCTATTTTGCTCTAATAACATTTTTTATCTGGATATTTATCAAGACTTTGGGATCATTGACTTTGGGATTTGGTGTCAATACTAATGGTTAATGACTTGCAGTTTCACCAAATGCACATAAAATCTGTGTTCACACATTGATATCACCTACATTTCCTTGAACATCTTTTTTTTATTACTGCAGGGGTGTAATACCACTGGTAAAGATATGGTTCTGTATCATGAACCTGATATGAATTTTAAAGTTGGAGAATTTAAAAAGACAACTTTCTCCAATAATTTGTCCTTCTGCCATTATTATTAAAATTATACATCTGTTAAGAATAATTTAGATATTTGTAGGCTACAATCCTATGAACTCACTTAAACGGGAATAACTCTCATGGAACTTGATGTGGCTTACTTCTGAGTAAGGTAAACGGTAAAGCTAAAGGACCCCTGGATGGTTAAGTCCAGTCAAATTCAACTATGGGGTGCGGAGCTTATCTCCACTTTCAGGCCGAGGGAGTTGGTGTTTGTCCGCATACAGTTTTTCTGGGTCATGTGGCCAGCATGACAAAACCGCTTCTGGCGTATGGAATACTGTGACAAGTGCCAGAGTGCATGGAAACGCCGTTTACCTTCCCACCACAGTGGTACCTATTTATCTACTCTCGTTGGTATGCTTTTGAACTGTAGGATGCACTGTTAATGTCATTCCCATGGCAAGAGTGGAGCTAATGGCCCTCGAGTCCCTTTCAGATAAACAGATTTGTAACAGAATACGCTGTAACTACGGTGAACTGCTAGGCATTTAATCATTAATATGATTTAGATATGAAGTTTAAATTGATATAATGTGGGTCTAGTTTCTGGGGAGTTGCAGAGCAATCCTAAGTGGGGTTGGGGAGCAGTGCAGGGATGGATCCATTGCTGAATCACAAGCCCTGTGAGCTTGCACCAGGCAAAACAGAACAGGTGTGTGTAAGAGCAGTTTTTCTTTCTTTTTCACTATGCCAGCTCCAGGCTGGCATAGCTGAGGGAACAAAGAATTGAGTCCCTTGGGGGATGCAAAGGCTTTGAGTGCAGCAGATCCAAAGCTGCTGGTATACTATCCCCATCTCTCAAATGTGCCATATAATGGCTTTCTGCCTACTTCTGCTGGCAAGAGAACCACCAGCGGTAACTTTCCACCTGTCTGGGCACAGCTGAGGCCTCTGCCATCAGAAACATTCCTTTCCATTGGATAGGTTTCATTCTGCAATATTAAGCCCTTTCTGTCATCAACACCATTGGCGGAGTTTCCTGCTACGCCCAAAGCAATTCCCACCGAACCTGTGCTATTATTTCCGACAAGCTTCTTTTATTAGCAGGGAAGGAAATTATGACACGTAAGAAGCTACCACATTTCTTACACATGGATATTCCATTAAGTTGTAGTTAGCTACATTGCTGTCTCCAGAGACCAGATATTATAACTTTCATCATTAGTAATTAATCTGCATTTTGGGGGGAAATGTTGCTAATTATTTTTGAATTCTAATTGTGTGTGCTCTCTGTGTAGAATGCTGCGCAAGTTATTAACAGAAAGGAAATTATTAGTTTTTGAAAAGCAGCCAATAGATGTACGTTCTGTGCATAATCCTTTTTTGTTTGTTTTTAAAGGACAATATTGCCATAAAAAGCATGATTACCAAATATACAAGTAACATTTCTCCCCAAAATTAAATCCAGATAATATTTGTTTGCTGATTAACAGGCTGGCTACAAACCTCAAAGAACTTAATCCATTGTAGTACAGTTAACTCTCAAACTATCCAACCTCTTGGTCTGTGTGCAGTTAGCATTTTGCTTCAAGGAAGTACGTAACCCTCTATTTTCTATGCAGTACTTGGAAGAACAGGCTAACACGCTAGAAGTGTGTGTGTGTGTGTGTGTGTGTGGTGTGTGTGTGTGTGTGTGTGTGTGTGTGTGTGTGTGAGAGAGAGAGAGAGAGAGAGAGAGAGCTCACCCATCAACTCTCCCTCTAGCTTGATTCAAAATACCCGCTGTTAAACAACCTATTTTTTGAAACACTTATAACAGATTTGTTTGACTTTCAAGCCTGTTCCAATACTCAGTCCTGTCATGCTCCCATCCCTAAGACACAGGGAGGCTTCAAGTCTAAGACTCACTCCCTTATCCCATCCCCACCTACCACTGAAGTCAAGCCCTCCTGGTCACCTTTGGGGCATCATACCTGAGACCCCCAAAGAGTCTCTTTCAGACTTAGTTTATTATCCAAAGCCTCATGCACCGAGTCGGGGAAAAGGAAGTGTGATTAAATTGCATGTAGAATCATAACTTCCCCTCTGTGGCCTAGCACCTCATTCAGAAATATTTTTTAAAGTGTTCTCATACATTTCTCACCCCCGCTTCCCGCTCGCTCTCTCCCACAAAGGTCAGAGTTGATCTATTAACTGAGACCAAGCGTACTGGATCTGGACAGCCTTGATGAAGAACTGGCAAAGGAGACTGAGCCCAAAGAGCTTTTATCATGAATAGCAGGTCTTTTCTCCGACTTCGCCAGAGGCATTCTGAAAAGGGCAGTGGGTTCAGTCAGTCAGCACACAGACAGAAAGCAGATATTGGAGAGAGACACTCACATTGCTCTATTGTTGATGGTCATATTCAATTTTTTGTGCACTTTTAAAGCCTTTATATTGAGCTACCCAAGAACTTATTGCTGCCCGTTTACTTGGAAATGCTTTGACTAAACTTGGAGATATACGTTATTATCAGCAGTAAT